GAGCCGCTCCCGCTCCCGCTCTGTGGGGCCGGGGGTGTCGGCGCTCTGGCTGCGGAACAGCTTCTCTTCGCCCGGGCCGTTGGCGCTGACAAGGGGGGTCGGGGGCACCTGCGGGGGAAAGTAGGGCCGGGCACGGGTCAGAAGGTCGCCAGGAGGTCTGGGCTGGCTGGGGCTGGAGAGCGTCCCTAACCAAGGGTGTCGGTTCAGCCATCTGCACAGCCCCCCCGGGGGCCCCAACCTGGCTCTGACCTGGTGGGCCATGAGCCCCAGGGCTGGGCTGGTGAGCTCCACTCCATCCTGAGATTTCTCGCGGGCCAACCGTGCCGCCTCCTTGACTTCCTGGAACTTCTCAGCAAACTGAGGTATGGAGGGGGGCAGCAGTCAGTCAGCAAACCCTGCGGCCCCCTCTCAGCCTCCACAAGGTCCCCCACCCAGCCCTGTCCTGTCAGCTGGGAAGGGACTCTGGGAAACTGCACGACTGCAAGTCACAAACCGGAATGGGGAGAAGGTTTGGAAAACGGCGTCCCACGGGCATCGTGGGTACAGGGTAGAAGAGTGGGACATTCACAGAGATGGCCTTAAATACAATGGTGGTCCACTCCCATAACCCCAGCACTCTGGGAGGCTGAGGCAGGAAAATCATAAGTTCAAGTATATCATGGGCAAGTTAGTGAGACCCTGTCTCAAAAATTTAAAAAGGGGACCTGGGGATGTAGCTTAGTGTAAAGGCCCTGGATTCAATCCCCAGAACCTCAGAAAGAACAAAACAAAGAAAGAAATTCTAGCAGGCATATACAACTTGATTTGTACAAAGGCAGTGTAACTCACTGAAGGAAAATTATCTTTTTAAAACAACATTCCCATAGTGCTGTAACATAAGCAAAGAACAACAAAAAATGGCCCCAAAGCAACTCAATAGTCATGCTTTGTTTAAAAAAAAAAATGAACCTCAAGTCCTACCTTGCACCACCCACTGAAATTAATTCAAGACCTAACATTGAAAGGAAAATTATAAAGCTTCTAGAATAAAACAGAGGACAGAATCTTTGCAGAACGGAAGCACTAATCATCAAAAGAAACAATGGATACAGATTTTTTTCCAATTATAAAGCCTAGAATAAAACAGGACAGAATCTTTGCAGAACGGAAGCACTAATCATCAAAAGAAACAATGGATACAGATTTTTTTCCGGCACTGAGGATGGAACCCAAGGACACACACACACACACACACACACACACACACACACACGAGGCAAGTGCTCACCACTCAGCTGCCTCCCTAACCAGCCCTTTTTATACATTTTACTTGGAAACAGCACCTTGCTAAACCACCCGAGCTGGCCTCAAATTGGGATCCTCCTGCCTCAGCTTCCTGAGTAGCCAGGATTACAGGCTTGCATCAACATGCCAGGCTCGGGTGATACTGAAGTAGGCAGCATAGATAGGGTGGGGACGAGGGGTGACAAGAAACACAAGTGGCTGGCAGAACCAGAGCTGCAAGGGCTCCCGGCCCATCTGACACTCAACGCCCCTGGGGTCCCTGTGCCTCCCTCCCAGCCCCCACCTGGGTCAGGTGCTGCTCCGAGGCAAAGCCAAGGCCATAGACAGTGTTGGCTCGGCTGTCTGCCCACTGCCCAAACTTCTGGGAGGTTTTGGTGAAGGTCATGTTGGGGGTGACAGTACTGTTGATGATGGCCTGGCGCAGAGGGCAAAGCTCAAGGTCAGTGTCCTGAGCAACCACCCTTGACCGAGACCTCCCCTGCCCCAGGCACTTCGGGAGGGCAGGACCCCCCCAGCTAGACCCGCCCAGACCTTGGCACCCCCAATGCTGATGATGCGATAGACATTGCGGGTGGCATCGTAGAAATAGGAGACGGTGAGGGCATGCTTGCCCGCAGGGATCCAGTTCCTCTTGGTGGCCGGGTCGATCTGGAACACGTGTGCCCTCGTGCTGAAGATTGGCTGCTCCCTGCAAGGGACCGGGCGTCAGGGGCAGCACCCCAACCCCACCCATGGGCCTCAGGGCGGCTGGGAGCTCACCTGGCTGTGGACATTGGTCAGGCTGGGCTGGGCAGGTGGCCTGAGGGTGACAAGAGCAGAGGGTCTGGGCCCTGGGGAGAGAGTGTCCCTGTAAGTGTCCCTGTGAGTCCCTGTGAGTGCCCCCCCACCAGCTGCACTGTCCTAGGACTCCAATCAGAGAGGCAGTCGGTATAAATCACTCGGAGCAAGGCCACCCGTCTCTCCATCTGGGGGTGGCACCCACGGCTCCCCCAGTGAAACGCCTCTTTCTCAGAGGCCAACTCCAGCACATCCATGGGGACCAGGGGTGCAGCTCAGGGGCGAGTGCTTGAATAGCATTCACAAAGCCCTGCGTTCCACCCCAGTGCCAAAAACCAAAATAATAAGAGCCTGGCACTGCCAAATACCCACAGGTGGACCAGGCCCCACTCTGCCCACAGAGAGGCCTCTCAGCACCCCTCCTGGGGTAGAACCACACCTCGAAATTAGAATCCAAACCGCAGGATGATCACTGAGCCCAGGAACTCAAGACTAGCTGGGGCCACAGAGACCCCAGCTTGAAAAATTAAAGTAAAAAATTAAAAGACACGATGTAGCTGCCCTGCGATCCTGGCGGCCAACATGAGGGCAGGGCAGAATCCAAGATTAGAGGGACGGTGCGCCTGACCTCCCTGAGGGTCCTGCTAAGCCACCACCCCAAGAAGCCCGCAAAGTTGCTGCTAGGCTTGCTTCCTTATGCAATCTCTGCGCGCCCAAATCTTCATCCAGGGACCCGCGAAGGACCCAGGAAGAGCTCCGAGAAGGGGGGCTCCGGGCGGGCGGCAGGGCGTCCGAGGGGTCCCCAGCCAGGGTGGGGTGAGTCCTGGATCTGCCTGGGCTGCGGGGTGCGGGGATCCCCGGAACCCAG